CACGACGGCGCGACAGCTCTGCGAGACGCTGGTGCAGAGAACACGGGCACTGCAGCACCACAGCTGGGCCCTGGTAGAGCTACACCAGCACCTGGCGCTGGGTGAGCCACCAGCAGGGCGGGGTGTGACACTGGCGTGGAGCTGGGACCCCCCAGCCCCAGCCACCCCTCTGAGCCCTGCGTGTGTCCCAGAGAGGTGCCTGGAGGACCACGAGTCGGTGCTGGAGGTGCAGAGCTCCTGGGCCCCCGGCGCCAACAGCCGCTTCGTCTTCCGCAAGAACTTCGCCAAGTACGAGCTCTTCAAGAGCAACGCGGTACGTGGGCACTGGAGCAGAGCCCACTGAGACCCCGTGTCCCGTGAGGACCATGGGCACCCTGTCTGTCCCCACTGACCCTCCCTGTTCTTCTAGCAGTCCCTCTTCCCCGAGGTGATGGTATCCAGCTGCCTGGAGGCAAATAAGAACATGGCACACTCAGAGCTCATCCAGGTATGGAGCCACCACGCTGTGCCATGGGGACCCCACCATGCCACACATGCTGCATTGTACCATGGGGACCCTGCCGTGGCACGGTGACCCTGTGGGGACCCCGCTGTGCCCCTCAGATCTTGTTTCCCCCCAGAACTTCCTCAATTCGGGCAGCTGCCCAGAGGTCCAGGGCTTCCTGCAGCTGCGGGAGGCCGGGCGCAAGGTCTGGAAGCGTTTCTACTTCTCCCTGCGCCGCTCGGGGCTCTACTACTCCACCAAGGGCACCTCCAAGGTGAGGGCGTGGGTGGGGACATGGACAGGGGTGCAGCAGGACTGGCTCTGACCTCCCCTACCGCCTCATCCCAGGACCCCCGGCACCTCCAGTACTTTGCTGACCTCACTGAGTCCAACATCTACTACGTGACGCAGGGCAAGAAGCACTACGGGACACCCACTGAATTCGGCTTCTGCATCAAGGTGGGGATGGCCCTGCCTGCCTGGGGGTCCCGGTAGGCCGTTCTGCCCCCCACCCTCGCCAAGGGGTCTCTTCCCCAAAGTGCTGGGGCTGCCCCGTGACAGCTCTGGCCTCTCCCTGCAGCCCTACAAGGTGCGGAGCGGCGTGAAGGGCCTGAAGCTGCTCTGCAGTGAGGATGAGCAGAGCCGGAGCTGCTGGATGGCAGCTTTCCGCCTCTTCAAGGTGGGCTCCGACCCCGCCGGAGGGGGGGGCGGTACGGGCCCTGTGTCGGGGGAATGCTGGGGAGATGCAGGGGAATGCTGGAGGGATGCTGGGGAGATCCTAGAGAGATGCTGGGGGGATGCTCGAGGTCTGACGGAGGGATGAGAAATGCTAGAGAGATGCCGGAGGATGCTCACATCCCTGCGCTGGGGGAAGCCAGAGGGATGTCCCCATCCCCTGCGGGGTGGATGTAAATGTCTCCGCCCCCAAGGCGGGAGGACACCGAGGTCCCCGCCCCCAGCCCAGGCGGGTGCTCCCCCGCCCAGCTGCGGACGGAGCACCCCTCCGGGACCCCCCAGCTCACGGGGCTGGCCCCCCAGGACGGCCTGGCGGCCTAACGGCACTACC